GATCATCAGCAGCAAAGCACCAGTAAGCATGCAGAACGACATCGGGTTTGTTTCTTTGGATCACATGGCCTGTTTTCCCTCTCTGTCCACGTGCCGTTGAAAAAGGAGCCACAGACACGTCAGCTTTCCTTTTACAGCTTCATTCGTGATTTTCATCTTCAAGGGAAGGTGAAAAAAAAAAACAGAAAAAAAATTTTAAAAACGACTTCCTGGGATGGAGGCTGTATCACCTTGCCTCTCACTTTCCTCTCTGTGGACTCCAGCACTCTCTCGTGGAAGCCTTCCTGGTGTCTAACCCACATCCCTCAAGCTGCCGTGTAGCCTCCTTCCCCCGGGGCTGGCCTCTGATGGTTTCCCCAAGGATCGGCTGGGGGTGGAGGTTCTGGAAAGCCACCTGGAACCTCTAGATGGGACGAGCTCTTGGTGGAGGGTGACGGTGGCGTCTTGCCCGCTCTCTTGCTCTGTGAGTCCTGGAGGAGTAAGTACCTTAGGTTCTAAGTCCTCCCAGGAAGAAAGGAAGCCTCTTTCGAGCAGCTTCCAGGAGACAGCAGCGTGGGGGCATTGGCTTTTGAACATTTTGATTTCAACTCACTGCAAGAAATGCATTTTCATCACCATTTTCCAACAGCGCACACACATATACACCTGAAACCCAAGCTTCATGAAAGCAGCCTTCCGTGACTGTGTGAACCGCTTTTTGTTTGCTTTTTAAAAACTCTCTCTCCACCTTATTCTATGAAACAGTTGTGCTCAGGATCCCCCACGCTGATTTCACACCCCACGAGTGGGTAACAACCTGCAGGCTGAACAAAGTGGATTTAAGTGAACAGGAACACAGGCTCTGGGGACAGATTCGTCTGTGCCTTGTTGCTATTTGGAAAGCAAACACAAAGATCCTGAACTCGCAGGGCTGCTGTGAGGGCTAGGAATAAAGCGGGGAAGGCGCCTGGTGTTCAGTGAGGGCGCAAGGAACAGGGTCCTGTTGTTCTTGTTGCACGGATGTGCCCTTTATGGGGTTAGGGAAGGGGGGCCGTCACCTCTGGCCTGTGATCTGGGGGTGCCATGTATGGCTGTGTTTCTCCACCCAGTAGGATCTCACTGACTTGCGTTAGATAGTCATTCCTTTAGACTGAGCATTGCTCTACCTAGCTTGGGTCCTCCTCTGTGTAAATTGCCCTGGTGCAGGTTGTGACTTGGGTCCCCAGTACTTTGGAGAAATGAGTTTTTCAGACTCTCCCAGCCCTGAGGGATAAGGGCGACGGAGAACGGGGGGAGAGAACGTGTCTGGAGCGTGGGCCTTACGAAGTTGGTGGGAGGGACTTCCCTGGCGGTCCAGTGGTTAAGAGTCTGCCTTCCAGTGCAGGGGATGGGGGTTCAGTTCCTGGAAGGGGAAGTAAGATCCCACGGGCTGCAACTAAGACCCGACACAGCCAAATAAACAAACATTTTAAAAGAAGAAGAAGTTGATGGGAGACCTGGAGGGTCTTTCCGGACAGCTGGACATAACCCCTAGCCTGTGCCCGCCCCGCCCCGCCCCGCCCTGCCCATCAGCCCCTGTCTCCCTCAAACAGGCGTGGGTCTGGCCTCTCCGCCCACAAGCTGAGTTGTGGGATCAGTCCCTTTGCTTCCTGGAGCCCCAGTTTCCCCTCTGCGGTGCTGTGGCTGAACTCCCGACTTCACTAATGAGATTTCAGTGAAACGGTGCCGGTAAAGTATCTCACATCACTGCTGGCACACAGCAGGACCCAATGCGTCTTAGTTTCCTCTTTCCAACTCATCTTCCCTTCCGACATACTCCCTCAAAACCAGCTCTTGGGAACAGATCTGCCTTGCGAAGCGTGAGCTCCCCATCACTGGAGGAATCTCCCCGCAAAAGGCTGGAGAGCTAACAGCCATGGTAGAAGAGGTTGGGACAGTTCCGATTTGGGGCACTGAATGGGGCTTTATACATGTCTGTGGAATAAACAGTCGTGATTCCTGTATTGGGAAGGAGGTTTTTCTAGAACACTGCTGAAACTTGGCTCCACATTAGAATCCCTGGGGAATTTCAAACACATGGATGCCTGGATCTCAGCACCATGGATTCTGACTTAACTGTTCTGAAATGCAGTATGGGCATTAATATTTTTAAAGGTTTTCCAGGCGATTCCATGTGCAGCGCCACATTTGAGAACAGGAACACCAAGTTTCCTTCTAAGTCCAAGATGATAAGTACGTGTTATAAGGTCATTTACACTCTAGTATAAATTTCAGCCAAAGGTATTTCGTTCATTATGTGATATATATGATTTGTGGCTTAATAAGCGGTTTTAAAAATGTGATCTCAGAGTTCAGCCGCATTTTCTTTATAAGAAGCAGACAGTGTTCAGACGAGTCAGTGAAGCCTCACTGCTGAGGGCGGATGGTCCAGCGGCATCCACAAAAGTGGCGCAAGTGGGTTCACTAAGCCCATCCTGGATGCAGAAACTTCCGGGACTTCAGAATTAAAACAGGAACCTCCAGTTCACGGGGAGAGGCCTAGCCCCCGACTCAGGGAGTTCCAGTCTGATGCGAGAGGCACAGCCGGTGCTCCCAGGAGGATCCTAGTCTAGAGACAGCCATCGTGGTCCCAGCTCCCCCCAGTGTTTCAGAGACAGCCATCGTGGTCCCAGCTCCCCCCAGTGTTTCAGAGACAGCCATCGTGGTCCCAGCTCCCCCCAGTGTTTCAGAGACAGCCATCGTGGTCCCAGCTCCCCGCAGTGTTTCAGAGACAGCCATCGTGGTCCCAGCTCCCCCCAGTGTTTCAGAGACAGCCATCGTGGTCCCAGCTCCCCCCAGTGTTTCAGAGACAGCCATCGTGGTCCCAGCTCCCCCCAGTGTTTCAGAGACAGCCATTGTGGTCCCAGCTCCCCCCAGTGTTTTCCAGCTTACAGCATGCTTTTCTCATCCTCAGCAAGTGGCTGGTCTAACGAGGTGGCAGCCCTTCCACTCTTGGGGAACTCGCCGTAGAACCCCCTCCAGGATTCCCAGGCCGATGGAAGGCGAGATCCCAGAGTGTCCTCAGGGAGCTGACGCCTCCCACAGTCCGCGCCCTCTGCTGTCTGAGCGGGGGACAGGGAGGCCTGGTCCCTGCTCCCTGGGAGCCGCCGGGGCCACTGTGGGAGTCAGCAGCTCCACGGCCCTTTGCACACCAGCCGGAGTCAGCTCCTTGGCTGCTTGGCCCCCTCCCTGGGGCGTGCTTCCTAATGGGCAGGGGTTCTGTGCCCTCTCTCTGGGTCCCCAGAAGCTCTGCTGACTGACTGATGGGCCAACTCAGTAAATGAATGAGTGAACTGGTCTGACGGGGGCGTTGCATCCAGACCCGCACAGTGGCAATGCCCCCGCTCCTTCGGACAGCCGTGAAGCCCTCCTGCCCCGTCCTGAGAGCCCCCGAGGTTCTGGAGAGGACTGCACACACCCTGTGCAGGTGTGGGTTGTCCCAGCAGCCTTGTAAAAACATGCCAGAGACCAGGAGGGGCCTGGGGCCCAGGGGAGGCCTGAGAACAGGGTGCCAGGCACTTGCTGGGGACTCGTGCGCAACCCAAGACTGGGAGGGGTGTTGGGGGCATCACCTCTCCTCTCACGGCGGGAGGGAGCGTGCCTGTCCTCTCCTCTCTGTGCAGAAAACCACACCTAGGAAGACCTGGAGGGAAAGGCGTCCAAATAGAGCAGCAGTTGTCCTGGGAAGGCATGGGCGTGGGGGTTACATGACTGTTCTCTGTGGTTTCCGAGATTCCTAGGCCTGGTCTTGATAATGAAATGAAAACTGCAGACTTTCCCTGGTTGTCCTTCCATGGCCCTTCCTGTCCCCTCAGGCTTAATTTCTTGAGATTCACGGGAACTTATTCCAGCCGCTGCCAGTGAGCTGCCTGTGGCTGCCTGGTTGGCATGAGTTTTCCGGGGTGGGGGTGGGGAGTCCATGCCTTTCCCCGTTTGCTGGCACAGGGTCCAGGCTGGGAATCGGCCCAAGAGAGCCTCAGGGGTTACCTAATAAATGTCTCTATCTGATTGCTCCTCCCAAGGAGGGCTACAGCGATTCCAGTCCGCTGAGATCCTGGTGAAAGGAAAAGAGGGCAAAAGCCTCCCACCCATTCTCATCTTGCAGATCGTCTCACCAGCAAAGTGGGTTTGGGCTTGTGTCTCCACTGGGCCCCAGGATCTGTCTCTACTTCATCGATTCATTCATCGCGCGTGCGTGTGTGTGTGTGTGTGTGTGTGTGTGGCTGCATCAGAGCTTGCTGTGGCATGCGGGCTCTTTCGGGATCTTTCGCTGCAGCACCTGGGCTCCTCTGACGCCCTGCGAGGGCTCCAGAGCGCACAGGCTCAGAGGTTGTGGCACGGGCTTAGCTGCCCCAGGGTGTGTGGGATCTTACTTTCCCAACCAGGGATTGAGCCCACGGCCCCGCATTGGCAGGCGGATTCTTAACCACTGGACCACTGGGGAGGAGCCCATTCATTCTTTCATTTTCCCGTGTGTTAAGTGTCTGACCACGCTCATCAGATCTGCAGTGATGACCCAGTGTAAACACGGCCAGCTCTTGCCTGGCCTTCCACACTGGTTTTCTGGTCTTGCCTCCTTGGACTGTTCTCTCCCAGAAGGATTTGGCATATACCTCCGCCTCTGTGCCAGGTCCCATTCAAGGCCAAATATTAGATCAAAAACCTCCGGCTTGAAGGAATGCATTATATGGGTCAGGAAGAGAGATGGGCAGACAGGTAATCCAGGTGAAACGTGTTCAGTGAAGGGCTGGAGTAGGAGAGCGGGGGCTGAGCCTGCCAGTGTCTGCTGGGTGCTCAGGAGAACTGGCCTGGGGAGGGAGGGGCCAGGACAGCCTGGACCGGGGGCCTCAGTGCTCGTGGGCTGTTCTCAGGGCCCCGCCACTGGGCCATTCTCCCGTCTTCCCCCCTCCTCCCACCCCTCGCCTTCTCCCAGGCCCACTGTTCCCGGTCATCAGGTGTGGGCAAAGCAAGAAGGCGGATTCTCAGCTGGCCGCGTGGGTGAAGGCCCGCTGTGTCCTGAAACTCGGAGCTGAAGTCAGACGTGGGGGCTCACCGGGGAGCCGCAGTGACCCCGGCGTCATTGTCGTCTCGGTCTCGTCCCGGCTGCGTCGCCGGAGGTCGATGTGATTGTCCACGATGACGCTGCGGGCAGGACCTCAGCATCCCAGGGGAACGGGTCCCTTGTCCTTCTCCACCCACTCTCCTGCTGCCCCCAGGCTAAGGGAGCAGGTCCAGGACCCGGCGGGAGATGAAACGCATTAGCTCTCTGCAGAAGTGGCTGAGAGATCCTTCACCGTGAGATGACCTGCTTCCCAGGAGGATCTGTTTGTCCTTCAGAGTAGAAATAAATAGAAACTGACTCTTATACCTGATGGCGGGCTCCAGCTCCCAGAAGGCACTGCCTGAGCAGTCTGTGCTCACTGGTGGTCTTGCTCTCTGGGGAGGGGTCTGGAAACCTTGGTTGGTGTGACCTGAGCCGGGACAAAGTCGGACATGGTCACAGTGCAGCAGGGAGGGGCCTGCGATGGTGGCCAAGCCTCTCGGCTCCTGGCAGCCACCTGTTGGCAGAGCCTAACATTTAGCTGGATTTTGGCTCACAGTTGGAAGGACGTGGGGTTGGCAAGAGAACCCAGGAGTCCTGATCCAAGTTCTCTTTTCTTCTTTTTGTTTTTTTAACTTCTGGGCCTCACCTCATGGTGCATGAGGGGCTTCCCTGGTGGCTCAGTGGTAAAGAATCCGCCTGCCCGTGCAGAAGACACAGGCTCCATCCTTGGGTCAGGAAGATCCCCTCGAGGAGGGCATGGCAACCCACTCTAGTACTCTTACCTGGAGAATCCCATGGACAGAGAAGCCTGGTGGGCTGCAGTCCACGGGGTTCCAAGGAGTCGGACATGACTGAGCGACTGAGCATGCACTCACGCACGCACGCATGGCATGTGAGATCTCAGTGCTTCGACCAGGAATCAGCCCGCACCCCCTGCGTGGGACCCCCAGGGGAGTCACGGCCCAGGATATACTGGGGATGTCCCACCCTGAGCAGGTCTTTAGGGAAATGAGGTGGCGGGAAGCCCTGCCCGCTGCCCTGGGACCCCCAAGAGGCCAGGTCTCGGGTCTACCAAGTGCTTGGCCTTGGACTGAGTGGGCCCTGGCTGCCTGGGAGGTGTCTGGGCTTGCGGTGGGGTCTCGCCAGAGAGGTCTGAAGACAGGAAGGCCTGTGATATGATCAGGGCCCAGTGCGAAGTGAGAACGTGGGCCCCTCTCCCGAAGGTACTAAGAAGGTCAGGACGACGGGCGCAGACCATGATTCCAGGCACGGGCCCTGTGCACACTTCCCACGCCCCCAAACCCACTGTCTTCCTTTCTCAGGGCTGCTGGAGCGAAGTCCTGCAAGCCAGGTGGCTCTCAGTAGCAGACCCGTGTCATCTCCCCGTCTGGAGGCTGGATGGGCCTGTAGGGTCCGTTCCTTCCGGGGCTCCAGGGGAGTGTCTGTCCCAGGCCTTGTTCCCAGCTCCTGAGGTCTGGCTGGCAGTCCGGGGCTCCCCTGGGCTTGGCACGGCGGCACGCTGTCCTCTCCCTGAGGGTCTCTGGGCCGTCTTTCTCTGAGTGGTCTGGTTTCTGTGTTGGCGTCCCCTCTTGAGAGGACCCCCGGTCGTGTTGGGTTAGGGCCTACCCTAATCACCCCATTCTAACTTCATTACCTCTGGCAACACCCTGCTTTCAAAGACGGGTGCGTTCTGAGATACCGAGGGTTAGGACTTCAAATGTTTGGGGGGAAGGTGCAATTCCGCTGATGAATTCTGCCAATGATCTTGGCCCGGCCGGAAGGCTGCCTCTGGTCCGGCTCAGCTGGCGGGGTTAACTGACTGGTCTGTGCCTGGCTTCCCCCGGGTAGGTGAAGGGGCCCTGGGGTGAACTCCCTGTCCCCACAGAACCTCCTTGTGGGAGACAGGGTGGCCCTCAGGTCCTGGCGGCTGGTGGCCTCGGCTTAGCCTTAGGGGGGCTGGGGGATCCCCCTTGGGGGACAGAGACCCTGTCTGTCCCCCAGCTCTGCCTGTGGGGCCCAGTCGTCACTTGATGGCCACCAGGTCCCTGCCTGCCGTGATGTCCCCCTTCCCATCCTGTGAGGGGGCTCTGGGGAGGGACCATTGACCTGTCCGTGCAGGACTGGGCCCGGCACGGCCACTCGCCAGCGTCAGGTCCCCCTCTCCCCCAAGTCGGGCCGCCAGGACCTGCCTTGGGGCCCTGCTGGGATCTCTGGCGACCCTGCGTCTCAGGCCCCCAGCAGGGCCTGGGATGCCGTGGAACTCGAGAGGCAGCAGCTTGGAGCCCTGGTCTTGGGTATAATGCCTTGGTGGGAAAGCGGATGTCTGCCTTGGAGGACCAGAGGGCTTGCAAACGCCCCCCGCCTCTGGAAGGGGCTGAGGTATGTGGGGTGTGACGGGTTGGGGGGTGGCGAGAGGATAACCCGAAGGGGAGCTGGTGGCGTGGGCGCAGGAGGAGGGCTAGGCTCAGGGCCCGTCAGCGGCACACACCTGGGGCTCTTGCTTTTGGCACAGGCCAGGGATGGCGTCATCCATTCCTTCCGAATGATCATTAATTGCGGCCGAGAAGAAGTGCCAGCTCCGGGGTTTGAGCCTTCCCCTCCTGTTTCTTTTCTTTCTCTTAATGATTGTGATGGGATCAGCAGAGACCTGAGAGAGGAGAGCTGTTCCCTTTTTAGGGCAAGGCGGCTCCCCTTGGCTGACTCACCCGCCCCGCTTTCTGGCCCTCAAGACTGCACCTTGCCTGTTAAAACCGTCCTGGGCACCGCCCCTCCCGAGAAGGGCGGCCCCCACCTTCGTGTTTGCAGGGCTGAGTCAGCAGTGAAGTCACCCCTTGGCTCGGTTCTCAGACAAGCGCCTTCTTGCCTGGGCTGCTGTGCACTGGCACGCGGGCTGCACCCTGGCTGGCGCGTGGGCCGGGGGCCGGGCCCCTAGGCCAGTGGTCAGTGATCAGAGCTGGCCGGGGTCCGTCTGCCCGCCCCCGCCCACTTTCATTTGCCTCTGACCAGGCCACTGTTGGCCAAAGGCTGCCCCTGGGCCGGGTGCGGCGTGGGCAGCAGGGTCTGAAGATGGGCAGCCCCCGTGCCTGCAGGGATGGGAGAAAGGTGCACACAGAGTCCCACTCCCTGGACTGTTTGTGCCTGACTGTGTGGGTACGCTGAGGGGGCAGCCCCCGACTGCCCTGGCGGTCAGGGACGGTGATGCTGGAAACGAGTCTGCGAGGCCGTGTTAGAAGCCGCCAGAAAAGAAGAAGGGCACACGATCAGAGGGAACGGCATCGCCCAGAGGAAGCAGCGTGTGCGGAGGCTCAGAGGCACGTTTGCGGGACCAAGAGCAGTTTGTGTGATGGAAGGGATGACGGGGGAGGGGCACGACCGGGGCGGCGGGGCGCTCTTTGTCACACCAACGAGCTCAACCCAGGACACTGGGGTCCACGGAAGGGTCAGAAGCCAGGGAGTGGTGTGACCCTGCGGGAGGGCAGGGGTGGACAGAGCGTGCAGATGGTTGGCAGCTGGCGCGATCGCCCAGGGGAGGCAGAGGGCTCTGAACCAGCATGGTGGCTGTTCAGTCGCTCAGTCGTGCCCGACTCTGTGACCGCGTGGACTGCAGCCTGCCAGGCTCCTCTGTCCATGGGGCTCTCCAGGCCAGAATACCAGAGTGGGTTGCCAGGCCCGCCTCCAGGGGATCTCCCCGAGCCAGGGATCAAACCCAGGTCTCCTGCATTGCAGGCAGACTCTTTACCATCTGAGTCACCGGGGAAGCCTTTGGACCCCTTTTCCAGCCTACAGTTTTTGGGGCATCTTAGGTTGCATGGAGGACCCCCCTCTCCTGCCTCCTAGGACCGCCATGTCTGCTGGGCATCCAGCGCCCACCTGGAAAGTGAGGAGCTACGTCTGCAGGAGGTTCTCCTGCGGGGCAGATGGCTGGTGACTGGCCGAGCCAGCGTCTCCTGCCTAAAGACCCGTCCGGATGCTCCACTAAGGCCTGCTGTATCACCTGCATTCGGCCCCCAGTGCGGGCTCCCTGCTCACTGCAACTGTGTCTGCTGTGAGATCAGCCCTGGGGTCAAAGCAGGCACCTGCCTGTGCTTCCCTTTCTCTGCTCCACCAGCCCTCACTGCAAAGAAGCGGGACAAATATGTGATAAAATCATCAGCAAGAAATGGTTCTCTGTGTCGGCTGCAGGAGCGGTGCTTTGGACCCAGGGCACAGAAAGCCTTCCCCTTATAGCCTTTTTCATCTCTTAATAAAGAAGCAAGGATTTGGAGGCAGTAACCCATCTGCCCTCAATAGATATACTGAGGAGCTTGTCAGGCTCACAGCGAGTGGTGTGACATGGCCACAATCGTGATGTCCGCCACCCGCGTTCAGCAGCGTGGACTTAGACCCACGTTATTTTGTCAAATGAAGAAGCCAGTTACTAAAGAGCATGCAGAACGCAGTCCTATTTTGGCAAAATATGCACAATATGCATGGAGAAAGGCATGGCAACCCGCTCCAGCATTCTTGCCTGGAGAATCCCATGGACAGAGGAGCCTGGTGGGCTGTAATCCATGGGGTTGCAGGGGGTCGTACACGCCTGAGCGACTAATGCACACGCACGATACACAAGCCCAAAAGGAGCCTAGCGAGAAACACACCAGAATGCTGGCCGTGGTTGCTTCCGGATGGGGGTTTAAGGTGATTTCCAGCTTCTCCTCTGTAACTTTGTGGCTTATCTAGAATCAGCGTTTTTGTACAGCCCGTGAGCTGAGAATGACTCTTCAGAGAGAATTAAAGGCAAACCAAGATCAGACGACTATGCTGTGGAGAGCATAGGTGGGCTGCCACACCTAAATTATTTAGGGCCCTTTACGGGAAAAGTTCACCAGCTTCTGGTCTAGGGAAAAAAAAAAAAATTAACACGTGCATGTTATTACCTCTATCTTAAGAAAAGCAGCAGAGGTTTTCCTTTTCGGAAGGTAGTAAATTCCCCCTTTAGCAAGCAGATACATCTCAAATAATTTCTTTCTGTTCAACAACACATCTGAGGAGCGGGCGCCAGGCTGGGCTCGTCCTTCCCTTTCTCATTTATTTCTTACTTTTGGCTGCGTTGGGTCTTGGCCGCGGCACAGGCCTGTCTCTAGTTGGGGTGAGCGGGCTTCTCTTGCTGCAGGCTTCTCCTGCGTGGCTTCTCTGGGTGGCACAGGCTCTAGGCGGGCAGGCTTCAGGAGTGGAGGCAGGTGGTTCAGGAGTTACGGCTCCTGGGTTCTAGGGCCTGGGCTCAGTAGCTGCAGGTCGCGGGCTTAGCTGCTCTGCGGCACGTGGGATCGCCCCAGACCAGGGAGGGAACCCGTGTCTCCTGCATCGGAAGATAGATTCTTCACCGCTGAGCCACCAGGGAAGCATCCCCTCCCTCCTTCCCTTTCTTCTCTGCTCCCTCTCTTCCATCTCCCAACTTTTCCCGGGCAACTTCTATGTGCCAGAGGCTCCCAGTGGGGAGACAGGCCTGGGGGTCAAGTCACCACGACCCGCCGGCCTGAGCCGCAGTGCAGCTGTGGGCCTCCCGGGGCTGGGGGCACTGGCTTTGCCAGGGAGGGTGAAAGGTGCTTCGAGGAGAACTTAGCTGGGGGTCTCCTAAGATCACCCAGGAGCCAGGACAGGCCCCCAGAAGGGTGATTCAAAACACCAGGCTGCCTTGGCCAGAGTCCCCTGGATTGAGGTGACCACGGGTGGCTTGGGGACGAAGAAAAAACTGGTTTGGGGATTTCAAGAGTCAAAGGTCAATATCCTTGGACAACAGAAGTAGACTCTTGAGGAGGCAGGAGACATGCTCGGCCAAAGGGCAGATGAGATGGGGCCTGGAAAGGCAGTTTGGAGGAGCAGAAGGGTGGAGGATGAACCTGGGGAGCCGCCTGCAGACTCCAGGCGAGAAGCTGGGCTTCCTCGTGGACTGGGGGGAGCCCCCAGGGGCTGAGGAGCGAGACCAGATGCGGGCAGCCCCACGTGGGCTGGGGGCGTGGGCAGGGCCGGAGGCTGTCTCAGTCACGCCGGCTCCCGGCCCAGCCTGCTTCCTGCCTCCGCTCCTGACGACCCACACACCCCTCCGCCCTCTCTCCCCTCAGCTCAGTCAAACCAGTAGAGGGTTGGGAAACGACTGTGCGGGGCAGGGGTGGGAAGGCGCGGGGACACCCCTTCCTTCCTCTTAGTCACTCGTCTAACTTTCGGCACATCTTTGTAGCCTTAGTCACCCCTGAGACGATCCTGCCTGTCCTTGCCGCCAGGGGAACTGAGGCAGTGAGCCAGCTGCCCACCTGCTGCCCCCGTCCAGGTTCCGAGGTTTGGGGATAAGCCCAACAAGCCGGCCAGGCCCAGCCTCACTGCACAGGGACATCTGAACAGCTCTTGGCTCTTGGTACCGGACTAGATGTGGTGCGGGGCTCGGGCAAGGCAGAGCTGGGATTTGAATCCCAGCTCTGCCTTGCTGTGTGCCTTTGAGTAAGTCACTCGCCCTCTCTGGGCCTTAGTGGCCTTATCCTTAAACGGGGGTGATGCAATCACTTACCACATAATGCCCACAAATTACAGAGGAGGCTTGCGGTAAACATTCCTCTTCTCCTTTGTAGGCTTATAAGGCAGCTATGTGAAGCACAGGCTCTGCCCTTAGGGGGCTACTCCTGCAGCCGGAAGGAGCGACTCTGAGACAATCAGATGCGGTAAAGCAGCCGAGTAACTTCCCCAGACGTCACCCTGCCCTAGGACGCAGCAGTCCGTGCCCTGGGCCTCTGTGCCTCCTTTCTGGCATCGCTCACACAGGCTTCTGCCCAGCTCCCAGAACTCGCCAGGTCCTGCGGCAGGGCCTTTGCACAGCTGGTCCCCCTCCCCGACCCCACCGAGACCGAATCAGTGTCGAGGGGGTGGTCACCACAGCTGCCCTCAGAATTTAGAATAGAGACGCCCCAACCTGTTTTCTTTTAATTATTATTAACAGGAAAAATGCCCCATTTTTCTTACTTATCTCCTGGCTGCGCTGTGTCCCTGTTGCTGTGCACAGCCTTCTTCAGCTGCGGCGTGTGGGCTGCTCTCTGGTTGTGGCACATGGGCTTAGTTGCCCCCCCAACCCCCTGATATGTGGAATCTTCCCGGGCCGGGGATCGAACCCATGTCCCCTGCATTGGTAGGTGGATTCTTAACCACTGGGCCGCCAGGGAAGTCCCCAGCTCAGTGTTTGCAACACCCTGCGGAGACTAATGATTCTGAGAGGTATCAGGCAACTCTCTAGGCAAGGTTACATTTTAATACTTTAAGGAAAAGAGAAATGAGAGCCGCCGGCACTTGGGTGAGCAGGAAGAGGAGGGAGAATGCCAGCCTGACGTCCCCACTGTCCCAGCTCTGAGGGTGCCCCGTGCTCCCCTGGAGAGCTCCCCTTTCCCGGAAAGGCTGATGCTTCTCTGCCCTGTGCGTCCACGGACCTTGGAGTCCCGGTGAGGCCTCGCCGCATCGCTGTGAAATGACGGAGGCACATGCCTTTCTGCCGCTTCTCTGCCCCGCGCGTCCGCGGACCTTGGAGCCCGGTGAGGCCTCGCCGCATTGCTGTGAAATGACGGAGGCACATGCCTTTCTGCCGCTTCTCTGCCCCGCGTGTCCACGGACCTTGTAGCCCCAGTGAGGCCTTGCCGCATCGCTGTGAAATGATGGAGGCACATGCCTTTCTGCCGCTTCTCTGCCCCGCGCGTCCACGGACATTGGAGCCCCGGTGAGGCCTCGCCGCATTGCTGTGAAATGACGGAGGCACATGCCTTTCTGCCCCACTGAACGGGCACCGTCTCCATGCCAGCTCATCTTCTCAGCCAACCTTGTCCAGGAAACTGGCAGTTTGTAGCACACGAATGTCAACCCAGACGTGACGATGGGTCAGAGCATGGCTCCTGGTTCCCACAGTTCTTCATTCCATCACAAATTTCTTGTCTTCTGTTTTCTCACAGGCTTACTGAGGTTATAATTTGCATTCCATACATTTCACCCACTTTGAACACACGGTGCAATGAATTTCGGTCCGTGTATGCATCCACACCCACAGCCAAGGTTTAGCACGCTTCTGGCACTGCCCGAATCCCCTTGTACCTGCTTGTGGGGCATCTCCAGCCCCAGGACACCACTGATGTGATTTATGTCTCTGAAGTTTTGCTTTTCTTTGCAATCCCATGGGCTGTAGCCTACCAGGTTCCTCCATCCGTGGAATTTTCCAGGCCACAATCCTGGAGTGAGCTGCCATTTCCTTCTCCAGGTCAGATACTTTACCTGAGAAGCCCCTTTCATAGCAATTCGTATCAGTGAAATCAGACAGTGTGTGATCTTTGTTGTCTGGCTTTCTTTGCTGACTATAACATTTTTGAGGCTCAGAGATTTTTTTTTTCCCCTTTTTAAAAGAATTTTATTTTATATTGAAGTACGACAGAGGATGAGATGGTTGGATGGTTGGATGGCATCACCAACTCAGTGGACATGAGCAAGCTCCGGGAGTTGGTGATGGACAGGGGAGCCTGGCGTGCTGCAGTCCATGGGGTCGCAAAGAGTCGGACACGACTGAGTGACTGGACTGATTGAAGTACAGTTGATTGACAAGGTTGTGTTAGTTTCAGGTATATTGAAAAGTGATTCCATTATACGTATACCTGTATCTATTTTTCAAATTCTTTTCCCATTTAGGTTATTACAGAGTATTGAGCCAAATTACTTATGACAGGCAGTAGATCCTTGTTGGTTATCTATTTTTAAATGTAGCAGTATGTACATGTCAATCCCAAACTCCCGAGTCTATTCTTACTTCCCCAGCCATAAATTCATTCTCTAAGTCTATGCATCTGTTTCTGTTTTGTAAATAAGTTTCATTTTTATAATTTTTCATTTCTGCATGTAAGTGACATCATATGATATTTGTCTTTCTCTAGCTTACTTCACTTAGGATGATAATCTCTAGGTCCATTCATGTTGCTGCAAATGGCATTATTTCACTCTTTTATGGCTAAATAGTATTCCATTGTATACATGTGCTGCATCTTGTTTATCCATTCTGTTGATGGATATTTAGGTTGTTTTCGTGTCTTGGTGGTTGTGAATAGTGCTGCTATGAACACAGGGATGTGTGTATCTTTTTGAATTCCAGTTTTGTCTGGTTGTGTGCCCAGGAGTAGGATTTATGGATCACATGGTAATTCTATTTTTTGTGTTTTGAGGATCCTTCATACTGTTTTCCACAGCAGCTGCACCAACTTACATCCCCACCAGCAGTGAGGAGGGCTCCCTGTTCTCCACACCCTCTCCAGCACTTGCTGTTTACAGACTTTTAAATTATGGCCCTTCTGGCCATGTCAGGTAGTACCCCATTCTAGTTTTGATTTGCATTTTTCTAATAATTAGCGATGTGGAGCATGTTTTCATGTGCCCGTTGGCTATCTGTATGTCTTCTGTGGAGAAATGTCTGTTTAGGTCTTCTTCCCATTTTTTGATTGGGTTGTTTGTTTTTCTGTTATTGAGTTGCATGTGCTGTTTGTATATTTTGGAAATTACACCCATGTTGGGCCCATCATTGGCAAATGTTTTCTCCCATTCTGTGGGTTTTGTGTTTGTTTTGTTTATGGTTTCCCTTGCTGAGAAAAAGCCTGTATGCTTGATTAAGTCCCATTTGTTTATTTTTATTTCTACTTCCTGGGAGACTGACCTAAGGAAACACTGGTACAATTTATGTCATGGACTGTTTTGCATCTGAGCTCCTGTAGGCGTTTCATGGTGTCATGTCACATGTTTAAGTCTTTAAGCCATTTGAGCTTGTTTTTATGTGTGATGTGAGGGTGTGTTCTAACCTCGTTGATTTACACATGGTTGTCCAACTTTCCCATTTGTTGAAAGACTGTCTTTTTCCCATTGTACACCTTGCCTCCTTTGTCAAAGATTGATTGCCCATAGGTGTGTGGGTTTGTTTTTGGATTCTTTGTTCTCTTCCATTTATTCATTTGTCTGTTCGTGTGCCAATGCCATGCTGTTTTGGTTACTGCGGTTTTGTAGCATTTTCTGAAATCTAGGAGGATTATGCCTCTTGCTTTGTTTTTTCTCCTCAGGATTGCTTTGGCAATTCTGGATCTTTTATGATGCTTTATAAATTTTAGGATAACTTGTTCTAGTTATGTGAAAAATATTAAGGGTAATTTGATCAGTTCAGTTCAGTCGCTCAGTCATGTCTGACTCTTTGCAAACCCATGGACTGCAGCACAGCAGGCCTCCCTGTCCATCACCAACTCCCGGAGTTTGCTCAAATTCATGTCCATTGAGTCAGTGATGCCATCTAACCATCTCATCCTCTGTCCTTCCCTTCTCATCCTGCCTTCAATCTTTCCTAGCATCAGGGTCTTTTCAAATGAGTCAGTTCTTCACATCAGGTGACCAAAGAATTGGAGTTTCAGCTTAAACATCAGTCCTTCCAATGGGTATTCAGGACTGATTTCTTTTAGGATAGACTGGTTGGATCTCCTTGCAGTCCAAGGGACTCTCAAGAGCCTTCTCCAGCACCACAGTTCAAAAGCATCAATTCTTTGGTGCTCAGCTTTGTTTATAGTCCAACTCTCACATCTATCCATGACTACTGGAAAATCCATAGCTTTGACTAGACAGACCTTTGTCAGCAAAGTGTCTCTGCTTTTTAATATGCTGTCTAGGTTGGTCATAACTTTTCTTCCAAGGAGCAAGTGTCTTTTAATTTCATGGCTGCAGTCACCATCTGCAGTGATTTTGGAGCCCAAGAAAAGAAAGTCTGTCACTGTTTCCATTGTTTCCCCATCTATTTGCCATGAAGTGATGGATCATGAAGTAATTTGATCAGTATCATGTTAAATGTAGTATGGCCATTTTAACATTATTAATTCTTCCAATCCAAGAGCTTGGGCTACCTTTTCATCTCTTTGAATCACTTTCAATTTCCTTTATTAATATTTTATAGTTCTCAGTATATAAGTCTTCCATCTCCTTGGCAAGGTTTAGTCTAAGTATTTTTTGTGCAATTTGAAAAGGTATTTTTTTTTACATCCCCTTTCTGGTATTTCATTGTTAGTGTAAAGAAGTGCAACCGATTTCTGTATGTGAACCTTATATCCTACTGCCTTGCTGAATTTATTTATTAGTTCTCATAATTTTGTGTGGAGTCCTTATTAGGGCTTTCTCCATACAGTTTCATGCCGTCTACATACAACGATGATTTTACCTCTTTCCTTCCAATCTGCATACCTTTTATTTCACCTTCTGTCTAATTGTTGTGGCTAGGATTTCCAGTGGGCTTCCCAGGCGGCTCAGTGGTAAAGAATCTGCCTGCCAATGAAGGAGACACAGGTTCCATCCCTGGGCTGGGAAGATCCCCTGGAGCAAGAAGTGGCAACCCACTCCAGTATTCTTGCCTGGAAAATTCCATGGACAGGGGAACCTGGTGGGCTGGACACAGCTGAGCACATATGCACACATGCACGAGAGCTCAGACTTCCGATGCTGTGTTGAATAGACGCAGTGAGAGTGGGTATCCACATCTTGTTCCAGATTTTAGCAGGAAGGCTTTTAGCTTTTCACTGTCCAGTACTAAATTGGTTGTAGGTTTGTCATAAATAGCTTTTACTATGTTGAGATATGCTCCCTCTAAAATTTCCTCTATACCCACAAACAAATCTTTTAAAATGCATGATTTTAACTGTCTTTTAGATATATTTTTGTAGGTTTTTAATGATTTCTCTAGGCATTGCAATATGCATATTTTGCTTTATCACAATCTAATTCAAATTAATAATGGCTAACTTTCACCAAATTTGTAGCACTGTAGTTCAATAACCTTTCTCTGTGCTATTGTTATTGTAGATATTATATCTATATGGGTTTCCCAGGTGGCTCAGTGGTAAAGAATCTGCCTGCTAATGCAGGAGATACAGGTTCAATCCCTGGGTCAGGAAGATCCCCTGGAGGAGGAAATGGCAACCCAGTCCAGTATTCTTGCCTGGGAAATCCCATGGACAGAGGAGTCTGGTGAGCTACAGTCTATGGGGTCGCAAAGAGTTGGACACGACCAAGCCCGTGTGTGTGTGCACATATGCGCATGCACACACACACATCTATATGTGTTATAAACCTAGCTACACGGTGTAATAATTTTTATCTTAAACAGTCGTATATCTTAAACAGTCGTACATCTTTGAAAGAAATTAGTGAGACAAAAGAAAGAATGCATCACACCGTTACCAGCTTCAGTGCTCTTAATTCCAACGTGTGTATTTGGATTATTTCACGTATCATTTCCCTTTAGTTAGATGTTTTTATTGTTTTCCTTTAGTTTTTAATATAATGCAGATCTTCTAGGAATGAATTTGTTAAGTATTTATCTGTAAATGTCTTTATTTCGCCCTAATTTGAAGGATAGTTTACTGTATAGAGAATTCTTTGTTGACAAGATTTCTCTTTCAGCACTGTGAAATGTCATTCCAATGTTTTCTGGCCTCCATTATTTCCGGTGAGAACTCAGCTGCCTGTCATATCATTGTTTCTCAATATGTGGTGTGTCTTTTTTCTCTTGCTACTTTCTTTTTTTTTTTTCATTTATTTTTATTAGTTGGAGGCTAATTACTTTACAATATTGTAGTGGTTTTTGCCATACATTGACATGAATCAGCCATGGATTTACATGTGTTCTCCATCCTGAACCCCCCTCCCACCTCCCTCCCCATCCCATCCCTCTGGGTCTTCCCCG